AAATAATAAAAATAAAAAATTATAAAAATAAGAATAAAAAAATAGAGAAAACAGATAAAAATGTGTTAAAATGTTATAAGATAATGAAAAAGAAGAAAAAAAAATACTGCAAATCTCCTCATGTACCGTGTTGTTAGGACACAAGGTTACAATATAACCTGCTCACCTAATGTTTACGTCAATAATATCTATATTATTTGCTAATTAATATCCACCTCATGTGCAATCTGAACCGGTCTCATTTCCGCATCTTCAGTATCTGGTTGAGTGAACGAAGACGCGTTTTGGCTCCTGCTGCTGACCGTGATTACTTGTTTTAAATTCTTTTATCAGAATGTTTTATCTGAATATTTTATTTGGAATTTTATTTGTAATTCTGGACAATCGCGCATGAAAGTGAAGAGCGGAGGGGATTGGTTTGGGGGGAATGTGGATCCTAGTGAAGAGTGGGGGGTGGGAGGTCGCAGATGAAGAGGTAAATGTAAATGTAATGTGTATTTATAGAGTGCATTTATTGTGTATGGTCATTCACCCAAAGCGCTTCACAATCATGAGGGGGGTCTCTCCACACCACCACCAGTGTGCAGCATCCACTTGGATGATGTGACAGCAGCCACAGGACAACGGCGCCAGTGCGCTTACCACACACCAGCTATTGGTGGAGTGGAGAGACAGTGATAGAGCTAATTCGGTGGAAGGAGATGATTGGGATAGAGGGACTTTGGCCAGGACACCGGGGTATTGCCCCTGCTCTTTCACGAGAAGTGCCATGGGATTTTTAATGACCACAGAGAGTCAGGACCTCGGTTTAACATCTCATCCGAAAGACGGCGCCCACTGACAGTGTAGTGTCCCCTTCACTTTCACTGGGGCATTAGGACTCACAGACCACATGTTGAGCGCCCCCTGCTGGCCTCACTAACACCACTTCCAACAGCAACCTAGTGTTCCCTAGTGGTCTCCCATCCAGGTACTAACCAGGCTCAGCCCTGCTTAGCTTCAGTGAGTAACCGGTCTTCGGCTGCAGGGTGATATGGCTGTGGCCAAGAGGGTGGGGGTTTTGCAGACAAAAGTGAAAAGTGGGGTTATGGGGGTATTAGTCGTGGGCCCTTGATAATGTCTCTGAGAGCCCCCTAAATGTGTGGGGCACCCCTGATCGGGGATCTCGCCGGAATATTTGAACAGTTTAAATATGTTCACTTGGCATGTTTCTTAAATATCCTTAACACTTCTTAGATCAAAAACTTACATACAGCAACTTTAATAAATAATTTAATAACAAAAATGAAAGGTGAGATCATTTGTGTTTCAGACAATATGATGTTCTTTTGAATTTTTACACTCAGTAAAATGATGTTTGCTCAAACTACTTATTTTAAACGAGTCGAAACAATTCTTGAGGTTTTTTGGGACAACTTAATTTTCATCAATCTATTTATTTATCTATTTCATCAATCTATTTAAAGGTGCTCTATTTAAGCTTTTGACTCTTCTAAAGCATAAAAAAATACCATAATATGTTTGCAGATATTTAAGAAACATGCCAAGGAAAGGTTCTTGTTCATCGGAAAAACAATACTAAAGTCAGATATTCTGCTTTGAAAATGTGTGTGTTAAGTGCTGGATCGTCTGTCTTTGTTTTTTCTTAAATCGCCCACTACCACTTTAGCCAATTATATTTCAGCACAGCGGGTTGCCTTGAAAACAGCGTATTCAATTAATTCAGTCAGGAAGGCTCTCAAAGTACGCACCTTTGACCGAAATGCGACCTCTGGTGGACAGTAGCAGACTCCGAAATGAGACGAAGATGCAGAGTTCAACATGAGGTGGATATTAATTAGCAAATAATAAAAATGCTACGAAAGTAAACATTAGGTAAGCAGGTTACATTGTAACTCTGTGTCCTAACAACACGCTACATGAGGAGATACATGAGCTGTCTCATTTCAGAGGCTGCATTCTTCGAAGGATGAGGGGGTGCTTTTTTGTATTTGTTCTGAATAAACCTCTAACTACCAAACTGCAAACACTATAAAACAATCACAATTCACACTTTTAACAGAAACATAACTGTTTATTAGACTTCACTACAAAAGTAATATTCATTTGTGAACTATGATACAAACAACATATACACAAAATGTACAGCATAAAGTACGGACGTGTTTAAAATCGCTTACAGTGTAGATGGTCGGCTCTTTTACAAAGTAAATGGATATTTACTGATATATATATATATATATATTTACTGATATATATATATATATATATATATATATATATATATATATATATGTTTTTTTTTTTTTTTATTGAATTCTGTAAAGTCAATTTCACTCAATAAATAGCAAACTGTATATCGTGTCATGGTGTACAACAGCTGATAATACTGATGTCGTAAATAATCTGTATATTACATTTCAATTCTACTTTGACATCCGGTGGGGTTTAGATTTGAACTTTATCTAAACACTGGTACAGTACCACAGTATCCATAAAGCTTGACTGGTTATACGTGCAGAATAAGATTTATAAAAATGTGCTTGAGCAGATTGGACGTGTTATTGCTTCATTTAACACAGTTTCTCAACCTTTTTATTAAAATAAATATTTTCAATGTAATAATTGCTTCATGGATCTCAGTTTGCAGTAGAAAACGCTCTTAAAAGCACTCTGGAAACGGTTTCATTTGTTTTGGACATTAAACATTTATCATTATTGGAACACAATAGGTATAATTATATATTTTATTTCAAAGCATTCATGCAATCTCCTTTTACTTCCTTAAACTTTTATTAAAGGCATAGTACACCCGATCATTATATTTCTAAATTAATTTACTCACCCTCAAGACATCCAAAATAATTTTTTTATTCATGTACAAAATTGTTTTAGCTGAAATTGTGGTTCTTGGTGATTTATAAAATGCAAGGCAATGGCTGCAAGCACTTCGAGAGTCAAAAAACAAAACAAAACGAAGACTTTGTTGAAGTCTTCTAAAGACAAAAACTTAACTCCACAGTCTTGATTGCATTTACAACCGTCTGGAGCACACCGTACCTGTATAATATAGTCAATATCTTGTTATAGGAGACATGGGTTTTAATTTAATTTGCTCCTTTTTCACATCACAGTGCCAGTAGCCGCTGACTTGCATTTTATGAATCACCAAGAACCAGTTTCAGCTAAAAATATTCTTTAAAATGGATAACTCAACCAATTTTAGTTTTGGTCACAAACCTGTTTGAGTTTCTTTTGTTGAACACAAAAGATCATATTTAGCAAATTGCTGGAAACCAGTAACCATTGATTTCTATAGCCTTTCTTTTCTAATATAGTTTATTTTACATAGTTGAATATAATTTCCAGCTTTCTTTAGAATATATTTTTTGTGTTCAACATACAATAAAAAGGAAAACATATATAGGGAAACATTATGGAGAGTAAATACAGAGTAAATTGTTGGGGTGAATTATACTTTAATGTTCTACGGGGGAGAGGGGAAGAAGTCAGTTACATCTTGGATAACCTGATGGTCAGTAAATTGTCAGTGAATTTGCAATTTAGTATGAACTATACCTTTAAGCTTGTGAGTTGTTCCTTTTTTTAAATGTATATATATACACACACACACACACACACACACACACACACACACGCAAACACACACACACACACACACACACACACACACACACACACACACACACACACACACACACACACACACACACACACACACACACACACACACACACACACACACACACACACACACACACACACACACACACACACACACAACACACACACACACACACACACAAATGAATTATGTTCTGTATTACTATCTCATTCATCAAAGTGCAGAGGTGCAAGTGTAGTGTATTTCCGATTTTTGGCAATTCTAATGTCTGTAAAATCCTATTGCTTACAGCTTCAGAAAGTTACATTATATGGAAAGAACATTTTTTACAATTTATGATTTATAGCTATGTGTTTGAGTAAAACCTTTTCTTTTAACTCTGTAAATCTCAACTGTAAATTAATTTCTTTATTACAATTAAAATTGTAATGTTGCACTTTATACACTATCGGTCAAATGTTTGGGGCTCTGTAGGATTTTGAAATATTTTAAAATAAGCTTCTCCAGCTCACCAAGGCTGCATTTATTTCATCAAAAATACAGAACAAATAATAAAATTGTGAAAAACTGTTCAAAAGTAGTTTATAATTTATTTTAAAAATTTATTCCAGTGATTGTAAAGATGATCGTTAAGCTTCATTATTCCTTCATTATTCCTTCTATTATTCCATTATTCCTATAGTCTTCAGAGTCACAAGATCCTTCAGAAATCACTCTAATAATAATAATTATTATTATTATTAATGGTAATAGTAATAAAAGCAATAATAACTGGAGTGGTATTTTTACTTGCAAATACATACAATAAGAAAGCAGTTATTTAAAATTGAAATATTCATATTTAACAATTGAACATTTTATACTTACATTTAATAAAAGCAGCCCTGATGAACAAAATTAAAAAAAAAATAAAAAAAATAAAAAACTGACCCCAAACTTTTGACTTTTATTGTATATATACACAGTCAGGTCCATAAAGATTGGGACATTGAAACAATTCTAACATTATTGGCTCTGTACACCAACAGAATTGATTTAAAATGAAATGATCAAGATGTGCTTTAACTGCAGACTGTCATCTTTAATTTGAGGGTACTTGCAACCAAATCAGATAAATGGAGTAGGAATTACAACAGTTTCCATATGTGCCTCCCACTTGTTAAGGGACCAAAAGTAATGGGACAATTGGCTCCTAAGCTGTTCCATGGCAAGGTATGTCTTTTTTCCTCATTATTCCAATAACAATAAGCAGGTAAAAGGTCAACAGTTCAAGACTATATATATATATATATATATAATTTGTATATAATTTGTATATGTATATGTTTTTTTTTTTTTTTTCACAAAATGACAATTGGTCAAAAAAACAAAGCAAAAAATAAATAAGTTCCATCATTCAAGATATATATTTAGCTTTTATTGAACTTTTATATATTTAACTTCAGAAGAGACGTGCAGAATTTGTTGAAATAACCCTGACTCTCAATCACAATAAATCATTTAAAAGATCTGTTATTTTGACCACCTTTCATTTTGCGGGAGGAAAAACATTCTAAAACTCTAAATGTCAGTATTTTTATTTGAACTTTAGAAGAACAGTTGATCAGACTGTTAAATATTACACAAATATGACCATTTTACTCAAACCCATACCAATAAATCTACTGACTATAATCATCAAGTTGTCTTGTAATTTTTGCCATAGCTGTATATACTTTTATAATCTCTCTCTCTCATAAGAAAACGGAGATCAAATGAGTCGTATTAAAAAAATAAAATACAGGAAACGTATAGTGACCACACACGCATTTATCTCTCAAGCAAGTGACGAGTGCAAATCTACTGCAGACGTGAGTTTGGACCAGCGCAAACAGATCTCCCGGTCTTACAGAAGGCACCTTACATGAAGGGTTTTGGTGGAGGTTTGACTCTTGACTGTACCTGTAACCTTCTGCTGTCTCTCCACGTCTGTTAACAAGAGCTCAGTGCTTCAGCTTTCATTGGGGAAGTGTCTTGTGTTCACGTTTGCGAGGAGAAGCTGATGCTGGACACCATCTTCTGGATCTTCTCCTCGTTTTTCAGGATGTTGGACTTGACTGCGCAGATCTTGTCCTGTTGGTCTTTGATTAGCTGCTCCAGTTCGGCGAGCTCCACTTTAAGAGGCTCCACTACACCGTCTGTGATTCTGAAACAGAGAAACGTTTGACTCGCACAGAAAAACAGGATTATGAAAATGTGTACACTTATTATAAATATGAAGATGCATAAATAGAGTTATTCTGACTGTTCTCCTGATTAATTAATTGTGATTTCAAATCTTTTTACTATGCCACTATCCTTCAATATACAGTGCATCCGGAAAGTATTTATAGCACTTGACTTTCTCCACATTTTTTATGTTACAGCCTATTTCCAAACTGGATTAAAGTTATTTATTTCCTCAAAATTCTGCACACAATACCCCATAATGGCAATGTGAAAAAAAGATTATTTTAAATTGTTGCAAATTTATTAAAAATAAAAACCTAAAAATCACATGCTCATAAGCATTCACAGCCTTTGCTCAATACTTTGTTGATGCACCTTTGGCAGCAATTACAGCCTCAAGTCTTTTTGTGAACAATATGAATGTGCACCTCTGTTCCTGCAGCAGAGCCTGTGCATTCTCCTTGTTCTCTCTTCGCCAGCTCTGCAGTTCGTTCTGCATGGAGTCCATATCCTCCTGAATGTAGTCCATGATCTTTCCCAGAGGCAGAGCGCTTCGGCACACCGTCTGTATGGAGGAACGCAGACGCTCGATCTCCCTTGCCACCAGTTCACGCTCCTTCTTACGAGACGCCTCCGACACCAGCGACCGGTCCTGGAAAATACGGAGCCACAAATAATAGTAGTCAAACAATGTCAAAATTCCTGTATTTTTTTTTTAGTTTCTTCTGTCAGTGTGGAAAGGATGATGGATGAACGACTTAACAACTTACTTCTATCCAATTCACTGCCATTTATTTTGTCAAAAAAAATGTACTTGAAGCTGTGACTTTTTTTTTTTTTTTTTAAGTCTAATGTTAGCATGTTTCAAGCACATTTTAGATGCGTTTTCAAGCTTTTTCAGCATTTCCATAAGGCAATATGGTTTAACAGGACTATTAAATCGCTAAGACTGCACATGGATTATATGAATATATGTTATGTCCAGTATGGTGATCTTTTTACATGAGCAGCCCATGATAACATTGTTTTTAAATACTTAAATTACGTGGTTAAATAATGAAAAGAATCATATTTAGATGTGCATTCCCAATTTGTTTTGTCTGTATTTGTGAAATGAAAGGTTTAATTCAGTCAACAATTGCATTATTTATCAGCCTGCAGCTAGCTCTCTGCAACTCTCACATAGTCACCCACTGAAGCAAGGCAGGGCTGGGATGGATTTTTAAATCGAGGTCCTGACTCTCTGTGGTAGTTAAAAATCCCAGGCAGTCCTTTGAAAAAGTGTAGGGGTTTAACTCTGGCATCCTGGCCAAATTTGCCCACTGGCTTCTGTCCATCATGGCCTCCTAACCATCCCCATATCATAATTGGCTTCATCACTCCATTGTCTCCTTTCCACCAATCAGCTGCTGTGTGGTGTGCGGTCTGGCGCAATATGGCTGCCGTCGCATCATCCAGGTGGCTTTTTTTTTTTTTTTTTTTTATTGAACAAACAGGGATGTACAGAGTTATACATAAAACAGTATACAATGGAATTAACAACAAAAATTAATCGTGTACATTAAGTATTTTTTCCAGTAGTTGAGATGTCTTAATAGCTTTGGTATTACTTTGTATAGCAGTGAGGGAATCATTAAAAAGTTTTAGATCAATGAAAAATAGTTTACAATTTGGTACAGTCAGATCATCCAGGTGGCTGCTGCACACTGGTGGTGGATGAAGAGATTCCCCCCATTGTGTAAAACGCTTTGAGTGTCTAGAAAGGCACTATATACATGCAAGGAATTATTATTATTATTATCATCAGTACCTCACACTCATCTTATTTTAGTTATCTGAGACCTTTTTTCTTTTTCATAACACAAATTAAGATACTTTAGATAAAATCCGAGAGCTCTTTAACCACTCATAGACAGCAATGGTCCCGAGTTGTTTAAAGGGCACCTAGTTTACCCCTTTTTTAAAGATTTAATATTAATATTATGGTTCTTTTGAGTGTGCCAGTTTAGGTTCAGTTCAAAACACAGTTTAGATTTTTTATTATAATGTGTTAAAAAGTGTCATTTTAGGGAGATGTACACAGCTCGTTGTTTTAGGGGTGTGTTGCTTCACTTGAAAATTAGTTTCGACTTCCCGCCCAACGTAACAAGGGGGCGGAAACAAGAGCTCCCCGACTCGCAAACAGAGAAAAGCAACATGATTGAGAGGACCAGCATTCAGCTGTACATGTATGACTACAAAAGAGACTACAAAATCATTTGTGTCTTTGTATAGTTTTACAGCCAACTGTGTGCTAGTTTAAAGTTCCGAGCTTGTACACAGAGACTAATAACCTTGCACACTGAATTAACTTTGAGTCACCGGATGCGCCGCTCAGAACCGCGACACAGCACACCAGACGTGCACATTCGCATGTTATTTAAAATGCTAGTATTTAGATAGCGCTCTGTGGCGCGGCAGAAATATGAACAGTGTCCTGAGTCGTGGCTGGGCATGAAAATTTGTTCTGTGTGGTTCTCGACACTGGCTGATAGCCATGCAATATTCTGCAATATCAGCACTTGTACAGTCTCTTCACCCTTCCGTATTACTCCGGCAACATAGAGTGACTGCAGATCAATAAACTCACTACAGCTTGACAAATATTGCAGCTGTTGAACAACATACTGTACTTTTGAAGCTTTTTTAGCAGAGTAAATAGTAGTTTAGATTGCATCTATGCAGTTTATGTATAAGAATAGTGTCTATTTTATATATTTTTAATTTCAGAGATTCAGCGTGTCGTCATCCATTAGCCTGTCATACTGAACCGAGCAAAGACGGTTGACGTTTCGCCAAAAGATGGCGACAGAGACTGCATAATAAGAGCTCAGAAGAGAAAAATAACTGCGAAATTTCAAACTACAGCTGATCAAATCATTATAAATCAGGTAAGTGACACTCTAAGTCAATCTCTCTCTTTTGTATGTTGTAGTGCTGTATTTATACAATGGTAATTTGGTAGTGTTCGCTTTGCCTTGGCTCGTTTGGGGTTAATTATTGTGATATCCCGATTGCAAAAGAAAAATACTAGGAAATACTAGAAACTAAAACAACAAAGCATGTCATAAATCTGTCACAAACATAATTGTCATGAAGTCATAAAGAAAATATGTGTCATGGATTTTTTTAACAGCGTCATTAATATTTTTTGGAGCTTAAATACAGTGGTACAAGCTGAATTTGTCATTAAATTGTCATTAAATATCAACGACTCATTTTATAAATTATTTGACACTCAATGACACTTTTAATGAGACATTTTAATGACAAAATGTTTGTTCCACTGAAAAGCGTGATCAGAAAAATATTTATAACACAATTAGAATAGTCTCATGACAATCATGTTTATGATAGATTTATGAAAGATATGTTGTCTTGGTAATGTAAAGTTGTCATGACAAAGTTGAAGACGTTTGTTTATGTCAGGTTGTCATAACAAACAATGTCATCTTTGAATTTAAAAATACATAACTGAGCAAATGACACTTAATAACAGTTGTCATAAGGATGAATAAAATCTCACTAACGTGTCACGATTATAAAGGTTGCACGACAGTCTAATGAACACCTCTTCAAGTAAAGTGTTACCAAACTGACTCATAATAATGTCTTGATTAACGGTCTCAAGTCTTCAAGACACCTTATAAAGATAATTGAATATTTGAACATGTTGGTAAGACAGAATTAAAATTAGAACAAACATCAATGTGTGGCCACTTGACTTTTTTTTTGTTAGTTTTTTGCTTGCTTTTATCATTTTTGCTTTTCGACAACAAGCCACCAATAGCATCTGACAAGTGCTGAACACCTGACCATCAGCTTTGGTGCACCAGGGCCTTAAGAGTTTTTAGAGAAAATCACTTCCCCTGATTCTCAAACATCTCAATAAATGAAGCTTGTGACTGAAAAACCACTATTGAGAAGTCACTCCCATAAGGGAGCACTTCGTATGAATGCTATAAACGAGGTTAGAGGAAATCTATACCTACCAACAATATACTTTAGGGGGGAAAAGCACCAGGGAGAAGTCTGCATTTAGTGGTTTTCAATGTCAAGGCTACAAATGTTTAGAATTTCAAGGCAGGAATTATACAAACCTGGCAATGTATATAAAGATCAAAACGAAAGAGACATGGGATCCATAATGTGAGTGAGTGGTTAGTGAAGGCCTCCTCTGTATGCGGTGTGGTTGGGGGGTCCAGATCTGCCTCAGTCACCCTTCAGTCGAGCACTTGAAGGCCCCCCTGGCACACTGGGCCCGTGTCTATTTACTCAGCTGGGGCCACAGGCTGTGTGTGGCATCAGGCCAAACAGGCTTTATTCTTACTGCCTCCATTCCACTCACACACACACCCTCACGCAAGACGTGACTTTGTTTATTTTAGTAACAGGCTATGGCAGTGAAGTTATTTTACAACAGTATTTGGTGACGACTACTTTACATTTACCTCATTCAGGCTAAACTATTCAAGCAGTTTGTGTCGTTACGGCCATAAACACCAACATTTTACATTCTAAGACATCAAGCATGAGCTACATGGCAATACAATGGCTAGAAACCTCAAAACAGACTAAGCCTTGCATAATGTCCTCAAATGTTGTGCTGAATATAAAGGCTATGTTTACAGAAATACAGTATGAACAATGAATTGTTGGGTGAGATACAAGAAAGCCATTTTGCAAATAAAGCTGGATTATTGTAATAAGCATTTTATAACACACTTAAGCATAATATTACTAGTGTTGAAACAGTATTTCTCTCAACATGCTGGTTTAAAAACATCTCTGACTAATTTCATTTTTAAAAATGATGAAAGACTTCACACTGTCCATCCACAAGATGGCAACAGACACAGCATAATAAGCCCGTAGAGGGGGAAAAACCTGCGTAATTTTAAACTACACCTGATCAAATCATTATTAAACGGGTAAGTAACTTTCTAAGTCGATCTCTCTCTCTCTTGTATGCTGTAGTGCTGTATTTATACCATAGTAATTGCAGTGTGTTGAGTGTGAGATAGGACTCATCCTAAAGTCTTAAATGCGGAGTTATCTTTTTCTAATGCATCTCCTGTTTTATTTCAGTAAACAGAAAAAAAGAAATGCACGCATGTGTTTAGTGTTTTTTTCTTATTGCAAACACAACAGTAATGTGGTAGTGTTTGCTTTGCTTTGGCTTTTTTGAGTTTAATTATGGTGATCTCCCGATTGCAACAGAGAAATATTGGGAAATCTCTGTAGACTGATGGCATTTCATGCCGTTGTATCTTATAATTTTAAAATTTGAGCAAAATCAGCTGTTTTGTCATCACTTTAGACCAGGGGTCACCAATCTCGGTCCTGGAGGGCCGGTGTCCCTGCAGGATTTAGCTCCAACTTTAGCACACCTGCCTGGATGTTTCAAGTATACCAAGTAAGACCTTGATCAGCTTGTTCAGGTGTGTTTGATTAGGGTTGGAGCTAAAATTTCCAGGACACTGGCCCTCCAGGAACAAGTTTGGTGACCACTGCTTTAGACATTATGCTAGAGAATTATTCAAATATTAGCTCTAAAGTGACGTTTGTCAAGTGGAAACAATTTCTTCTGTTCTGATGTCAGCTGTAGACGTG